AACTATGTGGCACGAGTAGAAAGTTGGCTTGAATTCAGGCAACTGTCAAGTATTATAATTTGTAAAATAAAGTTAATTACTGAATTATATAAAAGTTGGAAACAAAATATTAAGAAATGCTTGTTATATTGTAGAAAATATGTATTTACAATATATGTACAATATATCTCAAGTTATACTCGCACATACTACATGTAAATACAAGCGCATATAATATTTTGTTTTGAGATGTATTTTGATTATTTTTTTGATGTATTTTCTCGCAGTAATTGAGAGCATATATATTTATCCTTTGTATTTCGTGGAAATTTTATTTTAGCTATTTCTCCGAAATATTAAGCTAAAAATCACGTTATTCCTTGCTCAATTAATGTTACTCATACGCCCAACTGAACGCTTAGTAAGCAGCACTTTCGATTAACCTGCATATGCCACAGGCTAATTTACATATTTATTATCTTTGTACACAGTGTTGCATAATTGAATTTATATCCGAGTTTTCTGAAATCACTTTTACCCAATAAAATATTTTTAAGCTCTTCAACATTAAAACCATTTAGAAAATAGTTTATAAAATGGTTGAATATCATCTGTCAAACAGCGGCACAAGAAGCATGTGTTATATATATGTTATACGTATAACAAGCTTTTACAGACATATTAAATTTTTTTGTAAAATAATATAAAATAAAGCAACATACGTAAATATAAATATTTTTCCTTTGCTTTAGTTTTGCTACTTGCGATTGCAATGCAAACAAAAGAGAGAGAAATAACAAAAGATGAATTGTTAAAGTTTGCCTTCAATATCACTTTGGTAGTTTTTTGAAACATTTCATATACTTTGTACTTTTTTCAATTTCAATGACATTTTGCTTTTTCAATTGCTTTCATAAATTTATCGCTTACTCGTTGCCGCTTCTTGTTGTGTGATATTGCATTTTATGGGGACTGCAGTAAGGAAGTTTGGCCAAAAGTTTGTGTTTCTATTGTTATTTACAAATATTGTTTCGCTATTGTTCGCTATTGTTGTATTTTTTTTTAACAATTTAAAAGAGTTGAAAACAAAGTTTTTATCTGCGCTGAGCGCGCACTTTATGTACTTATACTTACAATGTAAAGTAATATTTGTAGACAGTACAACGATCAAGCAGACGATATTTCGTGGACACTTAAAAACCGTAAAGCCTCGAGCAAACTAACGTCTGCTATAAACGTTGTCTACATTTATCACACAATACTGCAGAAAAGTTAATTTTGTACGAACGTTATTAAAGTTAGTAATGATTGTCAATATGCTTTAAATAACAAAGAATATTATGACATTTATTACACCTGGCTAATATTCTTAAATTTTACCTAATTGTATACTTCCGTCCTTCAAATTCATGGCCAGCTGTTTGGGGATTGACGAAACTATGAAATCACAAATTTAGACTTCGCTTCTTAAGCACTTTTAATAAGTTCATTAAATGACTTTCGCTCCACTTCTTACAGTAATTAGCACATTGTTACAAGAAATTCCATTATCTTCAACATTCTTAAGCTTTTTCCACCATATCGTTTTCAGCTATTTTAGTTATTCTTCTACGCATTGCTTCACTGTTTGGTATTCAAAAGACCTTGGCTGTAGTTTTAGTGGCAGCTCTAATGTTAGTATTGACCCTCATTTAATTTTTCTTTTTACTTACAGCTGTAAGGTTTGTCTAATAAGCGTGCACTTAACACCTTTATCTTATTTCAACTCACAATTACCTCGAAGCCATTCAATTGGACTATTAAGTTACACAGAAGAAGGTAAAGTTGAAATGATTTTCAAAATACGTTTCTTATTATCTTTTTTTTTTACTCTTAGCTTGTTTTGAAACAAATTTGTATGTAATATATAAATATTTACGTAATGTACAAGTATATATATCAACGTATAAATATAGAATTGGTTGTACAAATCTCACTTTGCTGCAATCCCTTGGAGGGATTGGACTCCAATAGTCGATGGAAGCCAATAAAACTGAGTAGTTTCCTTGATTAAAAGCTTAATTTGAACCCAATCGAACTCACTTATAACTACTATATAAATTTAAGTTTTGAGACCAAAAAGCTAGCCCTTCACAGCATATAAAATATATTTAATATGCACAGATGTAACGAAGTATTCGTTTATGCTTTTTACTTGCCTACATAGCGAATGCCTAATTTTACGGTTCAGTCACCACTCTTCATAAAGCTCCAATTCCTAAAGGGTTAAGCGCGCACCCGCTTTACAGTTTATGTGCAATTATAAAAGCGGTTTTGCCAGCTTCACAGTTCAAAGGGTTATAATGATTACAGTTGACTGGAAAACGCACGAAGCCTGGAAGTAGTTTAACTATTTATAAATGGCGAAAAGGTCATTAACTCAACCGAGAGAGAAATGGTGAACAAAGCAACAAGCAGAAAATATTAAGATATTATTAAGTGATGAATATTTTGAGTTTTTGTAAAGCTTAAAAATTTAGGTAAGCAAATCGTTAAAGCTTTTATATTTTCTCTAAAGTTTCATATGTCGACAAGAATAAGCTCTTAAAATCGATTTCTTGCCTCAGCTGGTTGCACTCACTGATGTGCTGCCTTCCGGAATGAGTTATCGATTTCCTTTAATCAACGTAGAATAGAAAGCCAACAGCCACCTGACTAACTTCGCGCTTGAATGCTTTTAAGCGCAATTCATGAAATAAAAAATTTATAGAGAATAGAGAAAGCTTGCCAGAGGGAATTGCGAAACAATTTTGAAATCACAAAAATATCCTTATGTTATAAAATTTAGTTTTTAAACAAAATTTGTCCTGCAAACGTTTCCACGATTTTTACAAATTTTTATATCAAATAAATTCTCTTTTTATATCAAAAAAACTACTATTATTTTTTTCAAAATATCTCCAACTACGAAATAATCTCAGATCGTATACTCCAGTATTCGTTAAAGCAACATATGATCGAAGATATTTATTTCGAATATATTAATATTACATTGTGGACATTCACTTGTAATTTTATGAACATTCACATCTGTATTTGACTTTACTAATATTTTTCTTTATAGCTGCAAGAATATTTAAAGTGTCCCTTAGTTTAGAGCTTAGAAAGGCCTGTGTAATTGTTTAAATACTTTTCCAATGAACACCCAAACTTTTTAGCATTCTAAGTCTATATTTGCTTTGTTTTGGTGTAATATATAAAGTATGTTATATTCTGTATGCGCTTGTGTAAACTTTGTTTGGCAGCTTTCCGCTGTCTAAAGGAAAAAATATTTATGAGAAAATGCCGAGGTTTATTTTTGTAACTCAGCAGCAACTAATTTAACTGCAACGCTTGTCATTGCAATACAGCTACAAAGAGTGTTTTTAGCTTTTGAAGAGATACATAAATACCATAAATAAATTCAAATATAACAAAATAATACGTTAATAACTAATGTTTGTATATCTTATATTTGCTTAGTAAAATAACGTAAATAATAAGTTCTTGCATTGTATGCTCTCAAGTTATTACTAAATTTCGGATCCCCTCCCAATTTTTTTTTGTAAAATCATATTAAAGGCGTAGGCTTGTACGGATAAATGTAAGTACACATTTTTCATGATACATTTCTTTACTGCTATCTATTAGTTATTTATATGCTACTGGAATTTATATTTTCTTTCATACAACCAGAGGATTAAGTTCCAATTTGTAAGATTGTGTAAATTTTTGAAAAGAACTTTCTTTTTTATTTTTCAAATTAATAATTTAAATTTTTATGCAATATAATACGAAAATTTACTTCTTGCGACGAAATAGCAAAGTCTGTCACAAAATATTCGAAGCGTCCACGAAAGTTACGTGATCACAACTGTGATATATTTTATAATATCCTGCATGAGCAAATCAAAATTCAAAAAATCATTTGTTTTATATACTGAAATATCTTATAATTAAAAACATTCATGCAAAACAACAATCATAACAAACTTGTTGCAATAAATAATTAAAACTTTGACCAAATTTAGTAATTATGAGAATCAGCGGTTGCTTGCCTCAAACCATGGCATGCATTGCAACATCACCTGCTGGCAAATACACAAATACATAGGTATAACGCAGACGCCTTAGCTGGACAGTTAGACCTTGTGCCGATCACAAATTTGTGCATAGTAGAAAGGGATGGTGAGTTGACGATTGCGCCAGATGCTTATGCTACTTGACTCGGGGGTTAAATCACATCTCAGTAAGTACTGGTAATATGGATTGATATGATTTCTGTAATTATATAATATATAAAGATATTTTTGTAGGTGTGCGTGACGTGGACCCCTGTGTTCATTTTTATATTTCTATAAATGGCTCCACATGGTTGCCAGTTCGTGCGTCAATATTTATATGTTCTGGCTTAATTTCGTATTTTGTAGTATGTAGGTTAAGTAGGTAAAGGAAGCCGAAAGAAACATTACCAAAATATCACTTGAAATGTCGAAAAATCCGAAGACATTCGGTTTGAATTCGTATATATTCATGCGACTAATAAATATTTCAACCTAAAAAAACAAAAAAAAAATTTTAAGTGCAAAATTTAATTTTTGAGTGATGTATAATATATTGAGTCTATAACTATATTTGTGCGGTTTTTCCAATATTTTGAACGTATGAACGTATTTATTACAGATCTGAAGCTATAACGATTTCTTATCTTTCTGGCAATTTGTTGATTCCATTCTCGGCCACGAATGAATCAAGCCAATTTTTGATACCTTATTCTACTAGGAACCGTATTGCAGTTAGGTCATTCTTCATCGACTGAAACAAAAGGTAATCAGAAGAGGAGAGATTTGGGCAATAAGGCGGTTGAGGCAAAACTTCTTCGCCACATCCTTCCCAATAGTTCTTAATCGATATTTAAACATCAGGACGAACGTTGTCCTGACGGAATATTTTTTTCTCGCATCTTGTACACGATTTCGGACGTTTTTCAGCAATCGCTCAGTTCAATTAGGTGAGTTGTAGTCGGCAACGTTCCCCAAAACTTGATGATGTTCGGCTGATGTTTTCTACATTCACATAACGACGTATTTTTATGAAAAAAGAGATTAATGATTCACAAGGCCAATAACTTTCCAACGCATGTTCGCAATATTAAAACAATGGAAAAATAATCAAGTTCCGCCATCTCTTGGCGAGCCGCAGGAAAAATGTAGTTATAGACCCAATATCATACGTACTTAGTTTATAATAATTTTTAAGATTATTTTATGCATCAAGAAACGTGTTTTATATACTTACACTTCGATTCCATTCCGTATCGCCGCCCATGTACACCGTATCCAAACTTAGTTTATTAGCTGCAGTTCCACCCTGAACCGCTGAATATGCCGACAAAATCATTATGAGCACTTCGACAATAATAAGTAGGCAAAAAACTACCGCATTCCAATCCATAGCTTTAATTACTGAATATATGTACAGAATACTGTAAATTACTGTCGTAAGCAAGCTGAAGTCGAACAATAGAGCAAATAATATTTGATAACGAATACTTTGGTGAAACATCGTTGCCAGATTATAAATATCATTATAAATCCTCACACAGTTATTGAGCTCTCTGGTCAAGCGTATAAGCTTGCGTGCATAACGTGGCGGACGATAAGTTTTGTTACGTCTTAGCACATGGTCCAAACATCTAGCTTTCGGTAAGAGATCCTCACGCATATAACGATTCATATAATTATAGAGTGCACCAATACACATATAACCGATACTCGCTATATGCAAGCTAGCAACTATACCAGTTTCGAGGTAGAGTTTCGTCGCAACCACAGCTAGCTCCCGCCAGTCCGTATAGTTCGAGATTTCAGTTAAGCTAAATGCAGAAGTCGCAACACGAATAACTATGATTAGCAGATACATTAACTGAAGCATACCCATTACTTGACGATATGGTGTCAAACATTGCACCCGTCGGAATATGCCGAAGAAAGAATTTATGATATAGACGAACGTTTTGCCCGATCGCAGCAAGCAAATGCCCATGACAACGGAACCGGTAGCCATCAGATTTGTCTGCAGGAATGTGATGAGATTGTAGAACGGATCGTTGGTATACCACAACATAAGTGTGCCATAAATATAGCCGATGGCACCCAACATTCGCAATATGCCAAAGAACCATTTGTACCACACGCACTGCATAACGGTGTATGTAGAAGCATTGGAACGGGTTACTATGTTGAATGTTTCTTGATTCCGGGCTGGCGTTGGCCTTTTACGATAAGTAAAGCTGCAGATGCCGCAAAGTCGCGCGTAGTGGAAAAATGATAGCAACATTACCTTTACTATTGCTGCTTTCCAATTAGTAGCCATATTGCGTTAACGCTAAATTTAGTTGTGACTCGAGGAATGTTATAATTGGTAATGTCTAATTTGTTAGCGAAGGAAAAGAGCTTAGGTGCCTAGCTTATTCATATCAAATGACATAAGCAAATAAATACATACAAACATATGTAATTGTTTTCTTATAACTATGTATATTGAATACCAACATGTAGGCTTGTACGTCGCTTATATTATTTGTGTATCACAGAAACCATTTAACTTGTTTATTCAACGATTTTTATATGAATGTAAATAGAAACTAATTAGCTAATTATGAAACTAAAATGTTTGCGATATGACGTCACATTGTTGCAAGGTAGCAATATGCCGAGGAATTATTACGATCTATATATGTATAAAGAAGTAGTCAAGCGTAATGAACGGGTGTTTTTTTTCGAGGTATAGAACTTTAAGTTGGCATTACTATTCAAGATGATGACCGATTTAACAGTTGTCAAGTGCTTTATTCTCAGTTTGATTTGGCAATTCATCAAGTGCGGAATACAAATCGGGCACTACGTTCATTTTATCGTCGACCATCAACCTCAGTTTTTATTTCGGTTCGCTTTCGCATGTACGAAACGTGCAGAATGTCTTCAACGTACACATACGAGTATACATACGAACACATATTACGTTCTTTCCATCTGCTCTTGGAATGTCACATTCGCACATGCAAACCGGTTGGTTGACTTTGCGACTGAGCGCGACTTAACATACTTATCTCTGCGTGGAGCACCGTTCGGTCGTCACACTTTGAGTGACGTGACAGTTGTGGCTCAACACGTTGCATATTTCTTACCTTGTGCCTCCTAAATTGTTTATATACGCACATTTTCTCTGCGAATACAACACAAATGCAAAGGTATTTATTTGTCGTTTTTCAAGCTCTCTGCACTTCACATTATCTCGCTACCATTCACCTTATCCACAAATATCAATTTATTATTGCCTCGTAATGACAGCGGATAAATTTGGTGCTGCTTGTATGTTGAAGTTATATGTATGTTGTATGTGCAGTGCAGTGGAAGTTATTAAGACGTACGAAACTTAAAAAGGGTGCAAAAGAAAGCAGAGAAAGTTGAAGAAGCCGCACACATATAATATATGCTATTATTATTTCAAAATACATATTGTTGCTGTATTGAGTTGACGTGTGAACATACTTAAATTCCTATTTATGTATTTGACTGAAAGTAGGTGCAATGTTTGTAAAATTCGTCTAGCGCGGAGCAAAAACTGCAGTTCACTGTTAAGGTATTTGATTATTCTATTGCTTTTAGTTACTAGAAACAACTTTAAACTATTTAACACTGTCGAAATATAAATTGAATGTTTTCTTTAAGATCAAGTAGAAAGCTCATTTGTTGTGATGTTTGAAACTATTCATTACTTCAATTTTAATAGCGATAATTAAGTTAATAGTCAAAGTGCTTCAAGCAGATGCGAAATGAGAATTCAACGCAGACATTCATACAATCATAAGTACATATTGGTTGCATGTGGTTGATAACATACATTAGTGCGGATTGATTTACAGCGAGCCGAAAAATCGGAGAAATCCCGTACGTGGAAAATATTGTACAGTTCATTCTGAGCAAGTTTGCCCAAGAGAATATGGGTTTGAAACCGGTTTCGAGCAAGCAATTTTTTAGGTGAAGTCAAATTTTTCGGGATCATAAAAATTTCTTCGTCACTGTTTAAGATATCCCTATGAAATAAATAACATATGTGCATTCTATTGATCATTTATCGGTATCGTCCAAATCGGACGACTTTTTCACATATCTCCCATAAAATCGATTATTCAATTATTTTATTTTCCGGTTGACCGCTTTTTATTAAAAAACTAATAGCACGTAATTTTTCAGAACTGTTCTCTAATACATGTTTACAATGACAGTGAAAATAAAGAAAATCGGACAACTATAACATATATCTTCCATACAACCGATTATTCAGATTTTTTCCGATATAATGCCTTAAATTAAAAACCTTAAAGCTCGTAATTTGATGTTTTGTTTGTCTCGACTTATTCAAAAGTTAAAATAACAGAGTTGGAAGTATTAAAAGGTGTAAAAAATTTTATTAGTTATATATGAAAAATAGTAACCTTTGCTAGTAACATTATCTTCGACATTCCAAATAAAATGCCTTTTATTATTTTTTTTCTGTTTCAAACTTAATGCTTGGAATGTAGTAGATAATTTGATACAGGCAAATGTTACTGTCTTACAAAATGTTATAATGAAATCCTTAGGAAAAATATTTAACAAAGGCATTACCACTGAATGTCGCATTTTTACGTAGTAATACTTCACGCAAATTTTAATCAACTCTCGGTACGTATTATCACACCTTTTCAAAACCAATCGACATGTCTATATGCAACAAACTAATTTTGCTTTGCCTACCACCATTCAATTAACATTAATCTAATTAATTCCCAAGAACATAACGCCTACACAACGACTGCACATATTCAGTTTCTATACACACACACACACACACACTTACCGGCATCCCTGCGTTTTTATACTCTGCAACATTTTGCTACGGAGCATAAAAGTTTTGTTCACCTAACGGTTGTTTGTATCACCTAAAACTAGTCAAAATCGGACTACAACAGTTCAAACCCCCAGATACCGATATGTGGACACGAGTATCTGTATACCTTAGCAATTTGAAAATGTAATGCAATCGACTCTTACACTTTTCTACCCCCAGTATATCCTATACTCGTATAATGATTTTCGACTTTCCACCTGACTTTAAACCGTTTAGGTTGGTCAAAATTTATTATGTTAAACTTATGTTAATGGTTTGGCGATCAATAGAAATAAAATTGGTTTTGGTCTAAGCCTCATATCAGTACTATAATGAATACCGATCCTTTGGTTAACGTTTTTCACAACAACTCAATATATTGAATTTAGCCTTTTCGGTTGAGTGTTATTTTAGGATGATTAAAGTACAATTAACGCTGTCGGGAAATAAAATATAGTAATAAAACTGAGGGAGTCTATGACTTTCAAAATAAGTTTTAGTCAAATTTGACTGTTATCCATTCACAGTTTCTTCGTACAATGAAGTTTAATATTTTCGCTACTTTTTATAATATTGGCAACACCTGAAAGTATTTAGCTGGTTTTGATTCTTGTAAGTTGCAGGAATATAAAATATTCGATTACACCCGAGCTTAGGCAGTCCTTACTTGTTTTTATTTAATTTTTCTCTTTTAATTTATTTTGCTTCAGTGTTAGCAGGCTCATGAAAGCTAATATAATCACTCTGATTTTCAAGGTTCTTTCTTTTGATTTTTTATTTGAACTAAACACTTAGACAAGGTGAATTGCATTGTAAGGTAAAAAGATAACAGCGGCTGACTGAAAAGAGTTTAATATACCTGTAGACTCTTATTAACATCTTTAAGAGGTTTTGCATTTTCTTACTTGAAACTCGCCTTCTTGCGGTTTCTGTTGGCTTCTTTTTGTGTAGTTGAGACGTGAAGCTCCTCTTATTTGTTTAGTTACCAACCGTGAATTATATTTGATATAATATTTAGTTATTCTCAAGTGCTTTCAAAAGGTTTCTTACTTATTCTTCTTCTTGTATTTATCTACTTTTCTCGAATTTTGCTTATTTAATGTTATTCCTTTCATGCTTTGAATGGCAACCAAGTTGCGTGAAATGAAATGTCAACAAGGATCAATGCCGTTTTTTTCATTCTATATAGCTTCAGCTAGAGTCTCACCGCCACAACGACAGAACTATTGGCCTCAATTCAGGTCAGTCCGTCCTTGCTTTGAAAATGAGCCCTCTTATATAAGTGTCGATGTATGTGTGCATTGAATGGAACTGTTTGCGGTTGATGCAGACATGATGAAAAGTAAACGATGAAAATATGGTTACTTACTTTCGTCGTTTACTTTTTGTGAAATATTAGCAGAAAGCCAATGAGAGATGTGGTAGTATTAATTACATACACATAGTTACTTAAGGTATATCAAACTGTAAGTTTTGAATTCATATAAAACATGGCTACTTAAAGAAAATCATAGATAGTAAAATAAAATGTTGTGTATATATTTTATACTTACATTTTGCTTTAAAGGAATATTAAAAAAGCACAAAGCATCATGTCTTTAAATAATAATTAAATTAAAGCGATATATGCTTTAAAAAATTTGGCATAAGCATTAAGCTTTAATTAAAATAAGATTTACCCAAGTAATTTAGATATCATTCATAAAATATAACGCTGTTATTCTTATGTGTTTCAATTAAAGTTTCATCTCTTTCGCCTTTGTTGTAGTCGTCGAAAAGTGACAAAAAATTTCTAGAAGATAACTACTAATTATTCTTAGCACGAAGAATATGTCTCTATGACTTACGGCAATTTGAAAAAAACCATATTTTTAAATACCCGCATTTACATAATGTTTGTCACCTAATTTTATTCAGAACTCTTAACACATTTAAAACCTCATTAGCTCAAAGTAAAACAAAGGCAAACCCAGTGTCAAACTACAAATTAATAGAAAATCCGGGTATTTGCTCGCCACAAAAAACTACAAACAGCTTTAAACGCGGACAGTGCAAACAGATCTGCTCATATTGTGATTTTCTCCATTTCTGGGAGTGTATTGTTTCGTATGTTGCCGCCTGTTCGTAGGCCATGCTATTGGAAGCACAAAGCCCTACCGCCTATATAGCCCTTAAAACCGTATGGTACAAAACTTAATGTATGGTCAAAGGTGAAGTTGTATGCACAGACTAGCTCTATATAGATTGCAGTGTGATTTCCATTTACTTATTGTCGACTCAACGGACAGCCTTGGAAGTATCACTTAATCAAACGCCTTAAATTTTTATAGAAAATTAGCCACATTCTCTATACAAAGCTAGGTTTTATAAATAACACGCAATTTATTGAATTGAAAATAACCTACAATTTAAAATTAATTATGACTGAGCTCGAGTTATCTGTGCGTATTTTTCCACTACTAAATGACATGAATCACGTCTAAACTATAACACAATAACTATAAGTATAAATACGTGCATCAAGTAGTGACTTAAATGTACAGAAATGTTATTTCCGTAGCGCGTAAAGAAAGGGTAATTTTAATAACACTGCCC